GAGAGTCATAAATATATATCATCTTTAATATGAAGATGATATATGTTTAAAGCTTTTGTTTCTTCTTCAGAGATCCAAATCATTTTCTTTCACTTCTTATTCAGATATCTGGTACATCGAAAATCACTATTCATATTATTATTGTTGTTGTTGTTGTTGAGATTTGAAACTCTAGAGGTCTTATGTTCTTGTTGTTGTTTAAACATATTTATGTTATAGGTTTATTGACGTTGTTGTTGTTGTTGTTGTTGTTGAGATCCATTATTGAGACCCGAAACTCTAGATGTTTTATCTTGTTGTTGTTTAAATAGATTTATGTTATATGTTTTATATTTTTATTGATGTTGTTATTGTTGTTGTTATTTAAACAAACTTAATTTATAAATTTTTTATCTTTTTTGTTGATGTTGTTGTTATTGAGATCCTAAAAGTTTTATGTTGTTATTGTTGAGAATCATTGTTGATGTGGTCGGTGTTGTAGTTGAGACTGATTATTGAGACCCTAAAAGTTTTATGTTGTTGTTGAGACTCATTGTTGATGTTGTTATCGTTGTTGATATTATTGTTGTTGTTGTTTAGTTGTTCTACTAACCAAAGTTATGAAAATCTATATGTTGTAGATTGGTTATTGTTATTTAGTTTGAGTTTTAGATTGATATTGATATTGATTTTATGTTTTTTTTTGTGATTCTTTGTGAAACTCTCTTCTTGCTCTATTGAGTTGAGTTTATTATATTTAATGTCGATTATTTGTTTCACTAACTCCTCTTTGAACATATAAACTATTAAATTGATTTTGAAAATAATCATATAAAAAATTATGTTATATTAGAAACATATCTTACACTGATTAATGATTTTCTAGCGTTCTGTAACTCATCATTTTTTCATGTTCTTTCATGTTTAAAATCTCTCAAATACTTCTAGTTTTAGTTCAACATTCTTCCATATTTGTTCATTTTTCAAAGCATCAACTTTCATGCTTTCAAGAATGAATTAGTAGAAAAAGAAGTGTTGAATAAATAATTTAAAACATTGAAGAGGTTTTAACCATGAAGGAATTTGAGATGAATGATGAGTTACAAGATGCTTTAAAATCATTGATTAGTGTAAGTTTTTCTTGAACTATAACACAATTATTCATATAACTATTTTTCGAACCAATTTTGAGACGTTATATGTTCAATTAGGGTTTAATAAAATAAACATTCCACATTATATTTAATAAACTCAATCTTGTTTTACCCGCCAGTTTTATGTTAAAACTGAGGTGATAAGTGCTATATTTATCGGTGGAAAGTCAAAATCAAGGGGAAAAGTGTTTTCACCATTTTAGAATACAAAAAAGGATCTCCATTGGGATCGAATCCACGACCTTTACAAATTACCCATCAATTATTTTAAAAACGATGTAAGACCCCAATACTTTTCATGACGCTCTTCGTTACCTCGCTTAAAAAATCGAGGTAAGACCTCTTTTTCTATTGAGGTAAATAGAGTTTTTTCGTTGTATTGTATATTGCATATTAATTTTCTCTTTAAGTATATCTTATAATAAGAATGATGATCTCTTTATATAGATGTTTCAATTCATCAAAAAAACCTAATAAGAAAGGAGGAAATTGATATTAAATTAAATCTTCAGCAAACTAAATCTTTTGTTGAGAGCAAATCCAATTAAAGTTTTTATTGAATGCAAATTTAAATAAATCTTTTATTGAATGCAAATATTTTTAAATCTTTCAAAAACTCATTAGCATAATCTAGAGTGAAAGGAAGAGCACTAGTGGAACTTTTCACTTATTTTCAAATTCTTTAGTTAGTTGACATAGTAAGAAGCAAGTCTTCGTTGCATTGTCAAGTGCTGAGGCAGAATATGTCGCATCAGGTAGTTTTTGTGCTCAGGTTTTATGGCTTAAACAATAGATACTTAATTTTGATATTAAACTTCAACGTATTATGATAATGTGCAATAACACTAGTGTTATTAACCTACTTAAAAATTACGTGTTGCACTCTCGTACTAAATATATTGAGATATGTCACCATTTCCTACGCGAAGTTTAAAAAGAGAATATCGTTTTTGAGCACGTTGATAGCAAAAATCAACTTGCTGATATTTTTACAAAACCTCTTGTGACTAAGCCGTTTTTCAATATTCGTCAGGAATTGGTTATTCTAGCTATCTCAATTTTTTCCTATATATTTATTGCATGCACTCTCTCTATAATTGATTTAACCTTCGTTCAAAAATTTTATTTCATGTGGTGCATCCATTGTTTCTCCTCCTATGAGGTAATATTGTTTCACTTATCTCCTTGTTCGTGAGTTTTTATTCTTTTGTGTTGCTTATCTATGTCACTTGTAATTTGATTGTGTGTTTATGTTCCAAAAACATGTGATATATTTGATGAATGATGCATTCACACGACTGTTCATTTCCAAAAACTTTGTTGTTAACCTATACGTGTTTTAAATCCATATGTTTATAGAGGCGTCGTGTTTAAATCATTTGTATTTCATCATCATATCTATTTCATGATATAAATTCTGCATATTGGAAGTATCTTTGGTATTATTGTGATTGAGCAATGTTATTATATATAGTTTTATTCTGACTTTATTCTGATAAGTTTGTAATGAATTTATGTTGCATTTTGTATGAGTTGAATGGTTATTTATGTTTATTCATTTTCACTTTAACGTCATTCTTTGTGAGTGTTGTTATCATTGATCAATTTATCTTTACAAAGCCTCTGAATGATATACATGTGGTTGTGTGTTTTACTTGATGCTTCTTACTTTTTGTGGTTTTTCTCTTTTTGAGGTTGTCAAAGGGAAGAAGCTATGTAAGAACTAAGAACAAAGTATACTTTTGCAAATATTAAAGAGGAGATGCACATATTCAGGGGGGATATGAATAAAGTATATGAGTGTAATTTCCTCTCTTAGATATTTTTAATGATGTCAAAACTAGGCAATATGTAGTATTTGTACATTGGACATTTTCTCTCTATGTCTAAGGTTGCATTTTCATCTTAGCACACTTATTGAACAAGTCAAAAGCATTTGGAAAAGTCAAAAAAATGATTTTTTTTAAAAGAAAAACTATGTTAGGAGTCGACTCCCACTGAAGAAAAATGAAAACAAAATTCCTTGCTGCTTTGGAATCGATACATAGGCATTTGGAGACGACACACATCACGAATGAGTTGACTCCTTTGAGTTGTGGGTCGACTCCCACTGAACACAATTTTGAATCGAAATCATTATCCAGGATGAGTCGATACACTGGGCTTATGAGTCGACACACAACATGAATGTGTCGACTCCCTTGAGTTGTGGGTCAACTTCTCCTGAAACTGTTTTTCTTCAATTTTTTATGTCCACTTGGAGTCGATTCCCTGGCAGTATGGGTCGACTCCCCACCTCCATTGAGTCGACTCCTTACATGGATGGGTTGACTCCCCCTATTTAAAATGTCCAAAATTGTAATTTTGTATTTCTGTTTTTTCTTGTTTCATTCTTTCACACACACACACACACACGCACGCACGCACGCACGCACGCACGCACGCGCGCACGCACACACACACACACACACACACACACACACACACACACACACACACACACACACACACACACACACACACACACACACACACACACACACACACACATATATATATATATATATATATATATATATATATATATATATATATATATATATATATATATAAAGGTATTTATACATCATTTCTAAGTGATTGAAACCAAAAATATACAAAGAATTTTTCTTCATCTTCATCCTCTCTCATTGCATATATACAACACCTATACATAATCATTTTTATTGTGTGATCCAGAGATATTTTGATAAGGTCCATTAGGTTTATTGTAATCAATGGGTTGGAAATTCTTTGGGGGGTTTCAAGATAAATCCAGTTCGAGTTTTCTTCCAAGATCAAGGTTGATTTGGGAGTTCTTCACAAGATTTCACAACTTGGATTCGGCTGAGTGAAATCTTTGAAGAAAGACGTTTATGTCAAATGAGTAATGGTAACCGGGTGAATAATTTGCTAATCTTGGGTCACAATAGTTTGTAATTTGGACTCAACCGGGTGAAAGCTTTGAAGAACAATGTTTCTGTCAAAGGAGTAGCAGTAATCAGAAGATCAAATTGGAAGTATATGGTTACTTGATTGAGCTCAAGATCAAGGGAAGAGAATAAGATAAGATCAACATCAAACATAGGGTTTTAAGGGTTGAATTGTTACTTTTTCTCTTGTAAATAACATTTGCAAAGATTAATTTTCATTATCTCAATTCCATTTGAATTGAGGGTAGACGTATCCATAGTAAGGTCGATTGGGGAACTGCCTAAAAAAATCTCCCCCCCTCTCTCTCTTATTGCAAATTGTGAATTTATTGATTACGCAATCAATACATTGAGATAATCTCTTTATCAATAATATTTCAAACTATTTTTTGTTGAGTTGATCGTAATCTATAAGATTCCAATTGGTTTTTCATATCAACAAAATTAAAGAAAAATCTGATTAGAATTGATTGCACACCAAGTATTCGATAAATTGCTTAAGTCAAGTTTTTGTTTAGTATTTAATTGGAAATCGATTATCATTGTGTGATTTTATTCAAAAGTTTTATTTGAAAATATATTGATTCGTTTTCTCATAATTTGAATTCCCTTTTGATATGATTTAACTCATATCCAATCCTTTCGATAATGGTTCGAGATAGATGATTGTCGATCTAAAATTACTTTTGCTTGCCATAGTTAAATAACTTATTAAAATAATTTTTAAACAAGAAAATTTGATTAACGATGTATTCATCACCCTTCTAAATCTCGTCTAACACAACGCACATCTCAATTTCCTATGCAAAATATAGATAACCAAGGAAGTGATGCTATCGAAGGCAGACACACAATCTAAAGAATAAAGTTGTTTCACTGGGCCTCCTAGTTAGCAATGAAGCACCACCTCAATCAAATCATCATTCAGTCGAACAAGAAACACATGCTCAACTTCTCAAAAGTCAAAGAAGAGAAAGGAGTCGGAAAACATCCAAGAGTCACCAATTTTTTTCCTCTAAAGAATTGGGTACAAATGTCTCTACAATATAGTTTTGATTGTCAATGTCAAAAAACCATATAAACCCGATCAAAAAGAAGACCCAAAATATGAACCGGATGAACAAAAAACTGCCCTGACCCACTTGAACCGGACCCGTCTTCAAACTATATATATGAAAACAGCTCCACGAGATATCTAGTGTTGACTAGAAGTAGTATGATTTCAAAGCTATCACTTTCCACTAATAGCAAGTAGACATACATAATAACTGCAGTGCTTCAGTTCATAGCCTCCAATCTTTACTATTCAAAATCAATCAAGATCACCATGGAGGCTACGGTCATGGTGGAGGCTACGGTTATGGTCACGGTGGCGGAGGTTACGGTCATGGTGGTGGAGGTTATGGTCATGGTGGTGGTGGTTACAACGGTGGTGGTGTTTCCAACAATGGTAACTGACTATATCATCATGCTTGCAAATATTAAGTATAATGAATAAACTATCATGATGTGGTTATGAGTTGGATTTTGAACTAAAGTGGTGAATTTGTTATTATTATGTCTAATATATCACACGTGGTATTTGCAGAGGTTGTTGAAATGTCAAATGAAGTAAATGATGCCAAATATGGTAGATATGGTGGTGGTAGTAGATACCACTATGGTGGATACCATGGTGGCTATCACCATGGTGGTGGTGGTCATCATGGTGGTGCTTCCAACAATGGTAACTGATTATATCATCATAGATAATGCACATTCCAAGTGTAATAAATTTCATGAATAATAATGTTGGGTGTTTAATAAAAGAGATGTAGATATATAGACATCAATCTGTTGTGGTGGTTAAGTATCATCTTTGTATATATGTGGTTACGAGTTTGATTGAAACTAATGAATGTGCAATCATTTGTAATATATCATCATTGTTTTTTTGGTACTTTGCCTCCTTTTAAATTGATAGAACGAGCCATGTATAGTTCATGATTATACAATTTTTTAGCAATGAAATTAGTCGAATATCCTTACGTTACTTAATAATGTTTATATAGAGATACCTATACAATTCTCAAGAATTATTCTATGATAATTTGTTGAATCAAAATAGTATAACAAAAGTTAATAATGTCATTACACATAATAATAGTGTTAAATGATATAAGAAAAGCAAAAATCCTAAAAAAGAAGCAAAAGTGGATTAATGCTGCAACTTTAAATAATAGTGCTTATTTGATAATAGTGTTAAATAATATAACGACATTGGATTAGAGAGTCACTGATATCGTAATACTCTACATGAAAAGACATAGTGTTATAAACAGAAGAGAAACTTAAAATGATAATATGTGGTGCAAAGGCGTGATGGCTTTTGAAGTTCTTATATAATTGGCATTAATAATAAAAGGTGTCTCTTCATCCTCAAATTTTGAACTTGTGTCATCGTCGAATTGAAGAGCTATCAATTTTAATGGTGTAAAGATAAGAGCGATATAGCAAAAATGATGATATATTTAGAAAACGATCGTGGAAGAAAAAATCCATAATTCAACAGACTTACGTGCAAAAGGGTCATAGTTGGAATCATCATCCTCATCACTAATAAAATCTAAATTGATAGTTGATGTAAAAATAAGACATGACGATTTGACGATCACAATGGAAACATTACTTTGATGCATGACATCTTTTTCCATAGACAAAACAGCTTGACCATGTTGATGATGGATTTGTCGATTCTGGACAACCATTGTAGCGTCATTCCTAGAAATAGGTTTATGTATTGTAGCGTCATTCCTAGAAATAGGTTTATGTATATTTGGTGTTACAATTCACAACACCTGTAACAAATTTGGAAAAAAAATGTCATAGCATGAAACATGTTTAACAAAAAGGAACAAAAGTTATGTATATTTGGTTGTGATGAGGTTGTACACATTATTACAAAACAAGGGTTGTAACGTTTCATTTAAAATATTTAGTCATTTGTGTGTGTTATTTGTGAATTTTATTGATTCGATCCCATTATTATATATATATATATATATATATATATATATATATATATATATATATATATATATATATATATATATATATATATATATATATATATATATATATATATATATATATTAAAATCAATTTGATAATGTGGAAATGTTAATTTATATTAGAACGTTAATATTGATAGTCATGGAAATTGACAAGTTACTAATAAGTCACTAATATATAATGTTCCATTAGTATATAATATAATAATAATAATAATAATAATAATAATAATAATAATAAAATTGTTATTGTTAGCAATATTATTATTAGGAGTTAATTAAGGGGGATAAAAACAAAATTTGAGAGAGATTATGAAGGTCTTGGAAAATAACTGCTAGAATGTGTAAGAGAAGGGAACGAACAAGAGGGAGCTAAGGCAAGGGATTTTTCATTAATTTTTGCAGATTCAAGCTCAGAATTAAAGTAAGGGGAAAAAAGTCTTTTAATATGGGTGTATGGTATGATAGGGTAGAGAAAAGATGTTCTTACTCTCATTAGGATTGTATAATTCTGTTTTGAATATATTGTTGTTGTGCTCAAATCTGAAATTAGTGATTGCTTATGTTGATTATGTGATTATTGTGACCAAATCCATTGATGAATTGATTAAAAATAATAGTTTACAGTTTCTTAATAGTTTCAGTATTTTAATTTTTGTATTTCGCTAATTAATAATGTTACTGAAGATATTGTAGTGCCTTACTTCTTTATAAAGAGTATATAAAAGGTCACAATTTTGGGAAAGGAACGGTTAAATTGGACTATCTACTTTCGATTAACACTGGAATGTGATATTAATAACTCATATTATCTTCATTCATTCAATATTTATGATTTGACCATTTACTTAAATTGGAGAACATCAATTGAATTCTCCTATTATTCACTTTTGTTGCAACCGTTGATATGAAAATGGAAGGGAAACACGTGAGTTTATAGACTAGCATCATAGTAATTTTTGGAGTCTATTTTACATTGCCAAGACTACTACTAAGTTATTCATCCATTAATAACCATTCATTGCTAGAAAAAAAACCAGTATAATGTTATATAGATTTTAGAATCACACTACTTTGTCATGTAAACATATTCATAACCGTACACATGTCGTATAATTTCGACGTCGTAGCATAATTGTTTAATTATCAGGAACATGACATATATTTGTTGGATGATCACATGAATTACCATGTTGTAACATGTATATTTATTAAATGATAATGTGAATATGCTATCATATTTTTTTAGGATCGTGTGATCTACCACGTGAACTATCATACGGTAACATATATAATTATTTAGCTGATAATTATGGTTCGGTACTTATATTGATGAGATCGTCGTGATGTGAACATTTGTGGGAAGAGGTGGTAATTTCAGTGAGAATTACGGCGAGTATGTGACTCACGTGTGATCAGTGCGGGTCGTGTGTTATGTATTGATGATATTGTCTTGTGCATATTGTATGTCAAGCATTTCATGTTGTGTCATGTAGAGATGAGTTAGGTGGGAATCCATGATGGATGCCTAGTCTCATCCGGACTCCGTGTGAGAGTTGTATTGAAGATAAGTTGTAGTTCAGAGGAACGTATACGACCTATCCGGATTCTGACGGGAATCAGGTTCAATGAATGAACAGTATAGTTTGTATTTGATTTTGAATTGAGTGTGACGAGTTTGTCATGAATTGTGTGTGAATTGTGAATATTTGTTTGGTGTGAATTACTACTCTTTAGCATGTGTTTTCCACCGTTTAATTATTGAATATAATGCTCACCATTTTTCTGTTGTTGTGTATGTGCTCTTTGGGGAGTACAGATAACCAGGTACCTGAGTAATGTTTGGAGTTCATGTTGCTTGATTGAGTCTTAGGAGTCACTCTGATACGTAACACCGGATGTGGGAATTTGTTATGTTTTACTTGTTTTATTTCGTTACGTATCTTATTTTCAGACGTGTATTGGACAACGTGTTTTGTGGAGATTATTGTTGTTAAGGCCTTAGTGTCATGGAAGTGAATTGAATTAAATATTCTGTTGTTTAATTTAATTTCTGAGTAATAAAGTGACTGAAGTGACTTGAGACTTCATATATTTCATGAGATGTGACATCCTACGTGTGTACTCTGAAAATTTTTCACATTTATTTTATACATTTTATTAATGGGAATAGTAGGGTGTTACACAGGTCGCCCCAAAACTATAGTGACACTACAAATTAATGTGTTAATATTTTATTTTTATTTTTTAATTAAAAATTTAAGGTTATAATTATGGTTAATTCCCTAACTGTGGTTATACAGTCTAACTTTCTTGGGTTCGATTCTCAACCCCCTCAAATAGTTATCACTTTTACTTTAATGCACGCCTTTTCAATTATATTTATATATAATTAAAAAATAATAGAGATATCACTACGACTCTTTTATACAACCTTTGTTACACACTGACGATTTTTTTATATATTAAACACTAAGTACTCATTCTTCCACTGATAAAAGAAACAACCCTAACATCAACGACGTCGAAAAGAAGCAAACAACCATAACACCACACTCATTGTTGTTGTCCATTCTCGTCTCAATGTCGCATTTGAAGAGTAACTCATACAAGGGTGTAAAGTCTCGATCTGAAAATTTCTGTGTTTATGACAGTCGTATGGTTTCGTTCCTATGCAAGAGGGGTCAAAATAAAGGAAGACTTTTTTGGAGATGTCCAAATTGGTGGAGTGGTGAAACATGTAGTTTGTTTATATGGGATGATGAACAAAAACTTAAAAGATGAGAGTACTATGATGTCAGAGTTGGAATCTGTTGGACATTTGAAGGTTATGTATACAGATTCAAAAAAAAAAAAGAACAAGAATTTGAAGAACAAACTGAACTCAGATATTTTCTGAAAATTTGAAGATGTTGTGTTTTCTCATCTCCTTTTTTGTTTAATATTTACTTTGTTATAAAATGTAATAGTTGAATTAGGATTTGAAATTTGAAAATGTTATGTTATCTTATAACCTTTATGTTTAATATTTTCTGTACTTTATTATGAAATGTAATAGTTGAAGATGCAGTGGACTTGACAGGAATATGCAACTAACGGATCCTTTCTTACGAGTAAGTTTATCTTATATTCTTTATGTTTATATATTTTGAAGTTTAAGCTGATAGGTTAAGTTGAATGTTTAAGTTGAATGTTTTAATTGATAACCTTAAGAGAGTTAAGCAGATTAAAACTTCATTACATAAGACTCTCATTACATGATCAAAACACATAATCAAATCTAAATCCTCTCACTGAGAAAAGTTAGACCAATCATAGTCAGCCTCATCATCATCATCATCAGAATAAAAAAAAATCATCATTTGCCTTCTCAACCTTCTCCTTCTTCCCCTCAACCTGAGAGCTCTCATTAGTCTAAACACAACACCCTCAACAACAACATCTTGATTCTGAGGATGAGTTTGCACCACAACACCGACCTCTACAACAACATCTTGATTCTGAGATTGGTTTGACACCACAACACCCTCTACAGCAACATTTGGATTCTCAGCATTATTGGTGGCTTGAGCAACATAACACATGTTGATTCCTTTGGATGAAGTTGTTTTTGTGTCTTGGTTCTTCCGCTTTTATGTTGTTCCTTCTGATTCTTCATTTTCTTATCTTGGAAGTTTAAAAACCAAAGCTGGTCATCATCTTGGAAGTTTTGATATCAATTGAAAATTGGTTTAGTGTTGATTCTGGTATGAAAATTTGACATTTATTCATATACAATATCACAATGATTAATATGAATAACAATTGTTATAAAACACACGCTTTCTAGATTACTACGACAATCACAGGATTGTGATTGTAAATACCGCATATACAACCACACGGTACATAACAATGTCTGATCCCACGTGGTTATATATCTTTCCTAACCGTTATTAAATATTTTTTCTGTAATAGTGACATGTTTGTTTGTGCTGTTGTGGCACTGTTTGAGTCAGATTTTTGGCTAGGTTTTGGAATTCCCACATAGTTTTAAGGCTTTCCAGGAACTGGTCTTACAATTGTTGGATTTCTATATAAAAAAACCATTACCTATGAAAGATGCTGGAAAATTCTAATGTATAAAGTTAAATTGATTAGAGAATACATCAGTTTGTTTGACGAATTAGATTCCTTGAAATTAGTGGAAATTGTTTGTTCACTACAAAATAAGTTGTGTTTTGCCATGTGAATCCCACGTCGCTAACACCCAAATCACGTCACAACTTTATTTTTGCCACCTGAAGAAACACGTCGTTGGAGAGCGCGTGGCAATGTTGTTGCGACGTGGGAAACATGTCACAATGTTGCCACGTGAAATTCACGCTGCAACAAACTTTATGGGGTCAAAGGAAGTGCAGAGCAGAGCAGAGGTCAGAGCAGGTTTTATATTTACTTTTACGTTATGTGTTGCAGCGTGTTTTTCATGTCACTAATTAGTGACGTGGAAAACACGTCGCAACTTTTTTTTAAAATTATTTTCTGTTTTAAATATAATAATCCTGATATGATAATTAATATTATTTTCTGTTTCATTAAATTTATAAATTAAATATTATAATTTATTTATTAAATTCAATATTATAAATCAAATTATCAAAAATAAAACTATAATAGAATTAATATACTATATAATAAAATTAATAAACTAAAATTTA